TTAGATGATCCATTTTCTCGTAACTATGTCATAGAAAAACGACGCCAATGATTTGTTATAAGCAACGATAAAATAGTTGGGAAAACCAAAGAGCAAACGCTTTATAATTATGGTGCATAGATATTTATGTGTGTATTTCTTTGTTTTTCAAAATATTGTATTAATAATGTGTAAAAATTGGCAACTGTAGTGACTGAACAATCCTCCCTTAGCTTGACGCTAGAACCTGCAGGTCAATACATGATTGTGGTTCAGAGTTTTTCAAAAGTTCAATAAAAGTTGTTCGTTTTTTTTGGATATGGATTGTAATATTCAGCTAGTGTCATTACTTTATCATGAACACTCAATAAGATTCCAATCAGAACTGTAGTATTGAGCTTCAATTGATATCTAATGTGAGGAGACATTTGTTTTATTTTTGTTCAATCCGAAGTAGACAGAACTAAAACTATTTAACTACTTGTTAAGTGAATAAAAAAACCTGCATGTTTCTAGCTACGAAAAGGGAAGCGCTTGTTATGGTTAGAATATTCTTTAACTTAACGAAAAAATGAAAATTGTTTTCGTCATATGTGGCTAATTTGTTGACGACGAGTAAAAATATTTTCGATAAGGTTTTGAATGTTTCATATATGTTTTTCGACGAGATATTCGCTATCTTCAGAATATCTGTAAGAGCGATATTTTGTGATTTTATTAAGCTTACGTAAGAACGATGGATTACGCACTTCTTTGAGATCACTGTCGGTGGAGCATATGCGAACGCTTCGAAAATTCTAAATTTGGCCAATGAAGAACTCAGTGATACAAACTGCAGTGAAACTATTTGCACAAACAAAGATAAGCTTGACAGCCAAGCGCTCGTTATTGGAATAGTGTATCATATGTCTTGGAGTTCAACTACAAAAGATGTAGGCCAAAGTTAAATAAGTATTCTGAATCTCTAGAACGAAGATAGGGCTAAACGCAGAAATAATTGACATTTTTTGGAGGTTCGTCTTTATTTCTGCTATAAACAAATAAGCTTATACTTAGGTCACGCTAATCCTGCGTTACATGTAGAAAACATATCAAATAAATATAAATTGTTTTTTTTTATTAAACGTATTTTAATACATAGATTCGACTGGCAAGCGTTACTGTATTAGGCTTCCTCTTCAAAATGAGTACAAAAAGAATACTGTTCGAGCCTGCTTCGGTTCCATCCGATTAGATAGTTAAAACGTCTGTTCGAATTTGTACTCAGTCATCAATCGAAAGAACTTCTAACTGTTTGCAGAAATAATCTGATAAAGTACATTAAATATTCTATCAGAGATTATTTAACTTGATGGAGTACCCATTAGTAGTTGCAATGACTACAATGATGCATCCAGAAATTTTGAGCAATGCATGCAAAGATTAAGTTAAGCAGCAGAAATTCGTAGTAACTCCTTGTTTTCCAAAGTTTTTTTCTGGAAGAAAACGAAGAAATCTTTTTGAAGTATATATGAACACATCTGCCGCCGTTATTCTAAAACCACCATCTCGATCGCTACTGATTCAAATATTCACTATTATTGTTATAATTAAATCAAGAGTATTATACATATTATTAGTAACATCCTTTTTTTATGCTATGTGACGCTCTTAAGTTTAAAAAAAAATGTCTTCCCATAAAAATAAAATCTAGTAAAAAACACAACAAAAGTATTGTTGATTTATTGAGTAACAGTTTTTAAAATAAAAGAAATTTTAAATTTGTAATATCCTATTAAAGATCATATAACTACGGAATTTGAACTCTCATTTTGATGAACAAAACCAACAAAAATTCTCTCCATTCGTTAAGTCTAAAAATTTTTTTATTCACTCAGCATGTGAAATTCAAGTTTGCGAATCTTTAAAAAGCCTCGTGAAATTTCGAACAAAATTATGTGAAAGCAATTTAACACGGTTAATAATTATTCATCGCTACTAATGCGAACGTGTAAGTTTGCAACGACGTCTTTTTTCATGCTCATTTATTTTTCATATTTATCAACGTATATATCTTCCTTCATTATCGCCAAGGTTATTTTGACAAGAAGGCAAAAAAAATATATAGGTAAGTTTTTTTCTTACCTGTACCATTTATCTTCGGAATATGTTTCTATCACGCTTGCGACCACTGCGAAGTGAAAAGCAATTGAAGTCACATGTCACTCATTATCTTATTCCATTCCATCCTAAAGGCAAGTCTACCGTTGATGATCAAAATAATGGTAGGAGAATATCTATCATCTCTTTTGAATCGATTATAATTTCATTGTGTAGATATGTCCGTGGTGGATCAATTACCTATGAAAAACAGTCTCTATTCGGAGCTTCAAGAAGCTCTATCTCGTTTTCAATATGCACTTGTAGAACAATCATCAACAGACGAGACTATTGAATGCAGCATTGCCAACCATTATCAATGGATACTTGATAAAATAAAAAGTATCGACCAACTTGAGTATACATCAGAAACCTTCGATATCGTTTATATGGTATTTCGAACCTATATCAGCGATATTCTTCCGCTAACTGATAAGTATGAAGACATATTATCATTAATATTAAGTACAAAAATTAATTTCAATCTTGAGGCCTTGCTCAAGCAGGATGAGAGCTTTACTCGTCGAGTATTTTTTAGTACTCTTGATTTACTTGCATTGCCAATCATGGTCGATTATCTTGAAGGAAAACAAAAGGAAACACAAACACATCAATTACAAAGTGCAATGAGTCTTATTATCGATCGACTTCAATTAATATCTACATGGATGATTTTTCAAAAAGATGATCTCAACGATCAAGAATCAATTTTACGATTTCTCTTGAAGTTTATTAGCTCAAATATTCATATCAATGATTCGATAATCAAACAACTTTTCAATCTTCTTATATTTTTAACGGAACAAACGATTCTCGTGCCAAGTTTTATTAATGCTGGTTTTGTTACCTACATTTTACAATGGTTAGAAATGGAGCAATTAGCTTACGAAATTCAAGGGTCATGTATACATATTTTTTATAATTTAGCCCAAAAAAGTGAAGGAGCCAAAGCTTTGAATCAAGCAGATGGTCTTCGAATACTAAAAGATTGTACATATCGTCTACTCGATCCGAATGTGATCAATGGACAATATGGTTTCGAAAATATGCAATTACTCTATTGTATGGCCATGTCTTTATTGATTGAACCGAAACAGAATCGTGAATATGTCAAAAATCATCGTCGAGTTCTTGACTATCTTCTGCAATCGACAATAAATGCTAGTACCATGAATGATTTTTGCTATGCTAAATTCCATATTTCACGACCGATTGTTGTTCTTACAAAATTATTTGTACAAGATGAAATAATAAAATATGTACTTGATGAAGCACCAGTGAAAAATTTTCCTTTATCATCGAAAGTAGAATTTTTTGCTAATTTACTCATTCGTTTTCGTGGAGCTCTAACAATCGATGAGGATGAAGCTAAGGCATTGACATTGACTGCACTGTTCAATATTCTATGGAGCATTTCGTTTCATGAAGAATATCTTTCTGAACTTCAAACTAATCGACAATTTTTACTTACTGTGAAAACATTTGCTTATGATACAAGTGAAAATGGAAGCGAACGATATGTTTTTGCCAATATGTCTCCGATTTTCAAAGCGGCCAATGGTATTTTGTTGAATCTTGGTGAAAATATCAGTAGTAAGTGAAAAAATTCACCTTTCTGACTAAACCATTGTTTGATGAAGAGCCAGATTTATTCAGTAGAGCACTGAATTATTTTATTCTACACAATTTTAGCCGAATGAAACAGGATGAGCAAAAGTAAGAAATATAGTTTTTAACAATTTTTTAATATATATAACAAGGCAAGCAAAGGACAAGATAGATTATCGACTCTTGTACTCTTAGTGATTGTACTGGATCCTAAAAGATTGTCAGAAAGCCTTTTAATTTCTTTTGACGCTCTCTTCAACACTTTCTTTGATATATTTCGCTTAGTAGTCCCATTTGATTCACTTTTGCTGAAAGTTATGAAATAATTCACAAATTTGCTCAGTCTATTCGAAGTTTTGTTGTCTATTAAAAATCATACTGTCATTTCATTATCGATGATAATTTCGATATATCTATAAATATGCGATGCACCGATATGCTCCAGAGGGTTAGTTTCATTTTTCTTAAGCTTCTCTGCACTTGTTTAAGAAACTGATGCTTTTGCTAAATTCTTCTCGAATTTTCTTTTTTTATATTGCCTGATACGTCAGAATGTTTAATTACAGAAAATATATCTATCCTTAGTAAACTCATGTATTTTATCATTCAGCAAAAGACGTTTGGAGAATGATGAATTTTCACTCTTGTACCTACGTTGAATCCATTCATACCAATTTGAAAAAAGTTGTTGTATAGGTAACATTAAGTTGAAAAAAATAGAAATGTACAAAATAATAAGATTCTTTCTTTATTATTAAATTCAGTTTAGTTTTCCCTTCGTCTTTCGACGTCATGATACGAGTATCTTATTAGATAATTAATTACTTTCTGATCAGCGTTGACGTTAGACGAAGTAAAACTTCTTCATCAAGCCGATAAAAACAAATCCGATCAACCCTATCTATTTAAAAGTCTTGAGTCGAGAGAAAATAATATTTCCAATAAACCGTAATGAAGCAAGTCAACTGAAAGCATCAACTCATGAAAAGGCGCTTATATTAGTTGTTTTCAACATGATATTTGAACTCTTACTTGCTGGTTCCAAATAATACGAAATAGAGAATATCATTACGGAAACGAATTAAACAAACAATCTAATGTAATCGATTTGTTGTAGCACGTGTTCCACAATCATCGAACACCATAGTTCAGCCACCGGTAACACCTATAGCCAATCCGAGCAATCGAATTAGTGTGATGATCAGCTATTCGCATGTAAATGCAGACTTCTGTCGTGATCTTGTCAATGCACTTCAAAAGGGTAAGTTTTTATTGATAGAATCAATTTCTCTTGAAAAAACAATAAAATTGCATCTCTATTTTTGAAGATCCTCGTCTCGATATTTGAGTTGATTTTATCTATTGTCGCAGTGGTGATTTGTGGGAAGAGATAAGTGAAGCGATTGAAAATGCTCATGTTATTCTATTTATAATTACAAAAGAATATCAATGTAGTAAATCGTGCCGTCAAGAAGTGATGTATGCAAGAGATACACTAAAGAAACGATTTATTCCTATCTATTTAAAAAATGATTTTGTCGCCAGTAGTTGGTTAGGCATACGTATTGTTGGTGCGCAATATATTCGCTTTGGAAAACGATCTTTCGGTGATACGATTACAGAAATTCTGAATCTAATGGCTGATGATCCATCACAAAAACATAAACAAAATATATTCAAACAAACAAAGATACCCACGACTCCTATCGCGGATCCAGTCGATATTCAAGATAAAATTCTTAATAAAAATCGACACACGAGTCAAGATCAACCAGTTGAATTGATTATGAATACTGTTACGGGTCAAACCACGCCGATTGAACAGTGGACATCCGAAGATATTGATCAATGGTTTCAGCAGAATAATATCGAATCGAAATTAAAAGACCTCTATCGATTTCAACATGGTACCGATCTTCTTTTATATGGACAATGTTTAAGACCCGATTGGCAGCAGGAATATGCAGATATGCGAGAACGATATAATCTTGAATATAATGCAATACTATATCGGGATCAATTTGTACTCCTTGTCGGTGCCCTGAATCGTCTTCAATACACACAGCAGTAACTAAAGCCAAACAATGAAGATGAACATTCTCATATTCGTCGACCAAAAAATACATTGAGTTTAGTGTCATTTAAAACTTGAAAGTAACAATAGCATATACTCTTGTATGAATCAATAACAGTCGATTATTCTTCTTGATGATGATTGAAAGCATTCAATATATTTTAGTAAAGGTCTCATTGGGTGGGTGTGAGTGTATGGAATGTAGGATTTCTAAGCAAGTCATAAAACGGAAGTGTTCTATTTTTGTCAACTGATAGAAAATTTTTTCCTCTATCGAACTGGATATAACTCACTTTCATTACTCATTTATAATAAGGGCCATACGAGGAAAATAAAATACATGGCCATTAAAAGGATAAGACATTTTGTTTTTTTTTACCATTTTCTAATTAGCTGTTGTTTATTATTCATTTGATCTAAAATTAATCAGTAAATAATCGTCTTTATTTTCTCTAGTGTTATGACGTCTAATGTGGCGTTGCGAAGAAATTATCGCACGAAAAATGATCCAATATTTTTGACCAGAATATTAATAATTCTTGAACGATGAAATATAAAAGTCTGAGACTTGTCTAGTTATGTTGATCTTCCATTTCTGTTTTTGGATGCACATCTGATAATTGAAAAAATCTGTTATAATTCATGTATTCAGTTTCGTAAACGAGTCTATAGAAATTTGAAAACGCTTGCTTAGTGTCAGAATAATGTGTTCTTTCTGTAAATGACTTTAACATTTTTTGAAGAAATTTTAGTTTAAGAATTACGCGGTGATCTTTCAGAAGTTCATAAATTAAATTCAGATGAACTTTAGCTCACAGAAAATTGCTCAAAGTATAAACGAAAATTATTTCAAATACAGTGAGTGAAAAAGAAAAATACTTCTCTATAAAATGGTATACTAATTATTAATTTACTCCAATTTATTTATTAACAATGAATATTTTAGTAAGAAATATCGTGTTCATGTAGACAATTTTCTTGATTTCTTTGAAAAACAAACTCGAACAGTGAACATGACCATTTCTGAATAATTGTTCTGAAACTCTTGGTTCCTATGTTACTTAGAGAACAATTTCCCTTTTAATTCTATACATAAAAACGGTAATATAACGTATACAGTAAAAGAGATTATTGCTACAAAAAGAATATCAATTTTTATGTCAAAACCATTGTTCATTTCATCGTAATCTTCTTGTTGGTAATATAATTGTCTTCCATATATCACATCCATGTTTAACATTTGATAAATGGAGAAAACATATTACTTGTACCAACGCAGAAGAAAGAAAAAAAAATGTATAGATCTCTTGCTTTTTTTGTTCTAAATAATTATTATCCTATTCGATTAATAACTCAATTTGCTTGACAAATTGAACAGTGTGCTCGTTGTTTATACGACAATGATGATATGAATGATTACATGTAATTCAGACAATAAAACATTCTTGAAGATGACTCGCTGTTTGACAACATAGACCAAGTTTCTATAATGCTGTTCAATATATAGCACACGCATTATGAGTTACATCCCAACTTCAAAAACAAGATTCCAATGTTTAAATGTAAATGGAAAAAATGATGTTGGATTGCGTTTATTATTGTTTGCATTTGTTGATCGTGTATATGTTTGTTTATTTTCTGACATTTCAAAACGATAAAAAGAAGGCATGTATATTTAGTTAAAAAAAAGTTCTTTTACTTGCTACACAAAAAAAAACTTTAAAATTATGGGCATTTCCAAAACTCTTTGAAATATGACATAAAAATTTCACAATAAAAGAAAGGTGATGAATAAGAAATATGGCTTGATTTTCTACTCGTTAGTAGTTTATAAACAAAACAAACACATAGAATAATTCATTTTTCCAATAGTTCCACAAAAAAGTCAATTATGTTTATAGAATACGTATTCAAGCATCGCTCATCATTGACATTTTATTTGATGGTGATTTCTATACATAAAAAATAAGTAAGAAAGTCAATAAGGGTGCGTGTGCACATGAATACTTCTCTTTCTGTTATTCATCCATGCCTACATCCACGCTCATACCCTCCTATTCACATCAGAAATACACTGTATGCTTTTTCTTATTGCACTCTACCAGAAAAGCCGAATGGTGTTCTAAAGTCCAATTTTTTTTTCTAAAGTGACCATGAAGCTGTAAAATGTTGCCAGAAAGTTTAATGTTATGAAGTGAATGGAAGAAGCACTCTCCATCTTCCTTATTTAAGAATCCTGGGTGGATTATCTCTTATTTAGTGTGACAGCTTTCATATAAAAATGATGAGCGTTTCTCTCCCAGCAACACAGATATTTGTATTAATTAGCATCGATTTTTTATAGAAATAAATCATCAAATAACATATTCAAAAAATGATTATTATATTCATAAAAATATTCACCTTGGTGAATAATAACTTATTATATTATGCTAATATATGCTACGATAAAATGCAAACACTTCGTTTAACAATAACACCAACATGGTATACAAGAAAACGTGATTCACCTGATAGCGGTATCAGTGATGTATGATCAATCTTTATTTTATTTTTATTTCTTTGTCTTTGATTATATAGTTTATATGTTCTGTTATAAAAACTACGAGAAAAAACTATTGTATTTAAATAGAAGAAGGAAGAATTTCAGTCAAGTAGTGTTTTTAATGTATTATTGGTGTTCTTCAATAGCAGTTTGAACTGTTGATGAATTAATCTCTATTGATGATATCATTCGATCGATCAAAATAAACAGTATTTCCACGTGTAGTTGTATATAATGAAGATGATCGTGCCGGAGGCGTCTATAATAAAAGATTTATATATATATATATATTTTTTTTTGTAAAGGTATTTTTGTTTTGAAAAAAGTTTACTATATCTTCAATAACACCAGCATTGCGAGCTCGTTGAACGAGTGTAACTGGATCTAACAGTGATGACCCATAACGAGCTTTATAAGATTCAGGATCTTCTGGAGCAACACCAAGATCTTGATATCTTCGGACTATACGTGTTTCAGCAGCAGAATACATAATAATAGTATTAGATGGTGATGGATATTCTATAGCAGGAGGAGCATGTTCAACAATTGTGCGCCGTTCAGGTTGAGGTCCATATGGAATCCATCGTTCAATTATAATATCACCTCAATAGCAAAAAAACAACAATCTGGCATAAAAAGAAAGCAAAGAAGAAAAAGGTAGATAATTATTTTACGTGGTTTTTCTGGAGGAGATGGATAACGTTTGATGACAACTGATCGTGGTGGAACAGATAAAGCAGGTAAGGTACGAATAACTGTAAAAGAAAATACATTGATAAATCTAAACTAGATAATATAATTTTTTTTTGTTTCTTACTTGTTTCACTAGGAATATGTTTTGGTGGTGTTGGTGGTCGTTCACGTAAGATAAGTGGAGGTGATGAAGGAAGAGGTGGCGCATGTTCGCGTATGACAAGTGGTGAAGGAGGCGATGGTTGTGGTGGACGCACTTCTTTAATAATGAGTGGCTAAAATAACACAAAGATTAGTAGGATTAAACCTGTAAATAATGTATTTCATTACTCCTGGTGGTGGTACAGCTGGTGGTTGAAGATATCGAACAAGAACTCGTTGTTCAAGTGTTATTGGACTTGCACCTCTTGCTCGTCGAATAATTCTTGGATTAGGATCCTTATAAATATTCGTACCTGATTTTTCCAGATAATAATTGGTTTCTTCTGAACTATTTGTATCAATCACCGTATCATCAATCCATCTTCTAGTTCCATATAAACTATATTTATCAACATTACAACCCAAATCATCTTGATAACTATCTGTATATCGGGATCGACAAAATCGACTAGTAGTATCATCATAATGATTAAGTGCACTAGTAATTGATTCATTTGATTTAGTCACTCCTTCAGCATTTGAAAACAAATAACACAATTCATTTTTATCAATACTAAATATATAAATATGTATTTCTTATTTGATTTAAATTCTTAATTCATACCGTCCATCTTTATTCTTATCAATTTGTTTAAACAAAGTGTCAGCTGTGTCATCATTTTCCATTGTTCGAAATCGACAAAGTAGAAATAAATTCTTAAAATAAAAGATAACTCATGATCATTAATTTATATATCTATCATAAAGATATCAAATGCTCAATCAAACATCACCGACATAAGACATAAATACAAAAATATGAAACATTTATTTTGTAACATCAAGAGTATTCTTGTTCATACTCTTTGTAATTTTTTGGCAAAAAATATTGGAAGCATTAATAAAAACAAAAAAACGTATATAAATGATTGTCGCGTCGTTCTTATAAATAGTTCATGAACGTTTAAAATATAAACATGAGAATATTGTAAGAAAAAAAATAGAAGAATAAGAAGAGTTCTTCAACAAATCAGATCAAGGATAATTAGTCCATGAAGGATTCGAAAAGAAGGATATGGAATTAGCAAAATCATTAGTTTAACATTACTTTTGATTATTTAAAATAGCGAGATTCTTTCTTTTATCATATATAAAAATAATCTATGTAGTTTGTAGTCCGTGTTAAAAGGAACAAATGAATGAAAAACACAAGCTTGTCAGTGCAGCCCCTTTGGGACTGAAATGTGGAACTTACATACAGTGGTTTCTAAAATTATCCGACAAGATTTATTTACAGTTTTTTTTTTCCGTTGCCTTGAACGCTAGAAAGAATCCAAATAGTGATTGTGTAGGGGAAATTGTTACCTACAAGGATATGAAGAAATCAAAACATTTACTTGCTTTCTAAATTCAGGATTTCCAGAAAGCCAAACACCTGCTTTTCAATATCTAGAACTGGCAAGTATAATTTTATTAAAACTAGACAAGAAGATAGAGCAAACGATTCTCTACAGAATGAAACGTTTCGGAACTCTCTAAAACTTTTTTTTTTGGACCGAGATACATGAGTTTTAAGAAAGGCTCTGAAACACTTTCCATAGAAAATCGCAAAAAAACG